GTATATAAACGGCCAAGAGGGCGCGGGCTTGCAAATGGTCTCTTATATCTTGTCACTGGCGCAGAAAAAGCCTCGGCATGGGGAATTGCATCGTTTACAGTGTTCGCGATGAATTCCAGCTCACCTGTACGCCCCACTCTACCCATCAGTACAGATGGAGCGGAAACCCGGCTGAGAAAAAAAGCTACAATCCCTCCCCAATCAATGACGGCCGTTTGAATCAGACTACCTTCATACATGGCCTGTTTATTTCGCTCGGAACAGGAATTTGGGGGAACTGTTGAAATACGTGAAATTGTGGAATCCCGATCTGGAAGTATAGGCGGCGCAGACGGCAATTCTACTGCTGGATCATCACTTTTTTCATGGGCTCTCCCATTTTCGGGGGAGGAGCAACGGCAGATGGGAGGCACTATGTGGGGCGATGTTCTCGAGGGAGGGTCACCCATCTTCGCCCTTCCCAGTATTCCGTCTCCTATTGTGCAGTTCATGAGCAGTGGTGCGGGTAGCTCTGGTGCGTTCTCTTGTGGATTCAAATAGTCAGCCATTAAATCCCAGAAGCCCATGTTACCACATTGAACAATGTGGCCCAACAATGGAGCACAGCTGTAGAGTATCGGGATTCACAAAATGGACCCTTAAACGCTCCGGACTGGACCTCTGTTGTATATCGTGAGCAATCCATGTAGCTGCCATAATTATGTCTCATCTCCTACTCAGTGAATCGCATCGAACATGGCCGTGGCAGGGGCGGAAGTAGAGCTCTGCTCGAGGTGGCGCAGCCAGGCAGGCTCTGATAACGCTGGGGATTTTGCAGGCTTAAGCCACTCCAGTAACCCACTTTACATACGAGCTCGACAAAGTTATCCCACTACTAACCGTCGCTTCGTGTTGTTTCTTCTTCATGTCCCAGGCGTTCTTTTGTGGATAGTACCCCTTTCGTATCCAATTCATTGCTCATATGCTTGGTTAGACGTTAAATTCATGCAATTGTTAGTCAGTTCTCCGCGCTTGATTTGGTTGAACTATTTGGCGTCGGCTGATACGCACCTGGCATGTATTTAAATATTTTTTCTAGACTCGGTATTTCTTGCCTCAAATCTTTCTGGATGTCCAGGTGCCGAGATGACACGCCGAGCAAGCCAGTCGATGGTGAGCACCTAGGAGTCACACTACAGTACATTCATCTCGACAGAAACTATTTTGAAGAGTCTTATTATATTCCGAGCCATCCCTTGAGCTATGTCATCTTTTCATTCGCGAAAAGTCGAACCGTGGGAAAGTTGGGAAGGATCGCACTGTGCATCGATTGGCTTTGATTGCTTTTCAAATTCAAAGCGAGAAGAGCCCGGAAGGGAGAAACGGAGGGGCGAGCGGTGAACCAGGGTAGAGCAAGATCGGCGAGCGAGATCTTAACTTCCGCTGCCAAATTTTGACTCGCGGGTGCCCTCGGCAAGTGGTTTCGGGTTTGGATTTTATGTAATATGTGGTTTGATCGTGCAAAGCGAACTGAGTTGGCGTGAACGTGAACGAAGGGTTGAATCACACTTTACCATCTGCGTGGATATGAGAACGAAATGAAACCTATCTGCCGCAACTCCGACAAGTACAGCGAGAGCGAGGGATTGGTCCAGAGCGCGAGTTGTACGAGTCGAGGAAGACAGATTTGAACATCATTATGTAGGTCAGTATTACATTCCAGCCAGTACGCCGTCGGTTAATTAGTAAATAAAATAAGGTGTAGTGTATGAATGAAGAACAGATAAATGACGAGTAGATATGTGGAAGGGTCAGTTTATGCATGGCCAAAAGATGGTTATATGAGGTTAGGGATGACATCGAACCTGCGGAATATCTCTGGGAGAGTTCGAAAAGAGACCGGAGGAAAGCACGGAGGAACACAAAGAAAAAAAGAAAAAAAAAGTTGTCGACGTCGTGCATCACCCGACCTCGACTCGAACGGGGTTATTCCGGAAGGCCAGATGAACGCTACACCATGTGCTATCGGGTGGTTGGATATATGGATAAGGCGTTGAATTCATACTAAGAGGCAGGTTGCAACTTCTGCAAGTGGATAATTCAAACTAACGGGTTCAACTCAAGATTTGAGTTTGTCCACTCATCGAATGCCTCGGTCCTGAGAGAACGGGTGACGAAGTAGATATAGATAAAATGAAGCACGGAGATAAAAAGGCGTCCCGAATCTATCGCGCATCACTCGACCTCGGATCGAACGGGAGGTCCTGCCTCATAAGATAGCTCAGACGGTTGGCAGGTGCACACCATGTGCTATCGGGCGGTTGAGTTCCCATATATCTACTAGGCTGAATTAATGCGAAAAAACCTGCGGAGTTGAACACTGGTTGAAGTTCTCTCAATTTAATTGCCATTGAACCTGCAGAATATCTCCGGGAGAGTTCGAAAGGAGACAGGAGGAAAGCACGGAGGAAGACAAAGAAAAAAAGAAAAGAAAAGTTGTCGGCTTCCATCACCCGACCCCGACTCGAACGGGGGGCTTCTGCTTTACTTCGCGATGCCAGTTTGAAACTGCGCGAGTGCACACCATGTGCTATCGGGTGGTTGGATATCTGGATAAGGCGTTGAATTCATACTAAGAGGCAGGTTGCAGCTTCTGCAAGTGGATAATTCAAACTAATGGGTTCAACTCAAGATTTGAGTTTGTCCACTCATCGAATGGCTCGGTTTGAGTATCCTGAGAGAACGGGCGACGAAGTAGATATAGATAAAATGAAGCACGGAGAAAAAAAGGCGTACGGGATCTATCCATCACTCGACCCCGAGTCGAACGGGAGGTCCTGCCTCATAAAATAGCTCAGACGGCGCTAAGGTTGGCAGATGCACACCATGTGCTATCGAGTAGTTGAACACCTCTAAGCTAGACTTGTGTTTATGTGGTGAAATCAGGTAGGTAGCAGCCAGTTGTCGAAGTTATAGTCGACCATGATGAAGTTGGTTTTGAATTGATATTGAGTTTTGCAGTCGAACCTAGTGGGTGTGTGCTAGTATCACACACCGTACACAGAGAACAGGGACAACAGACGAAAAGTTCTATGAAGGAAAAAAAAAAGACTGCAGTCCAGATTTATCACCAACCCCGAGCCGAACGAGGTTTCCTGCCGTACTTTAAAGAAGAAATAATCCGTGCAAGTTCACGCCGTGAGCAACGGATGATTGGATATTTCGGTACTGTGTTGAATTTATGCGAGAAACTGCATTAGATTTCAACATCCAGTCTTGAGAATATATGGAATATGACAACCCATTCACCCGCGACGGGGTCATCATCCTGACAAAATGAAAAGAAAAAAAACGGCGTTTTCCTGTTATCACCTGACCCTGAATCGAACGGGGGACATCCTGAATTATATATCACACTGCTCGAAGGCATGACCAAGGTCTGCAGGTGCAGGTGGTTGAGTACTTTGTTAGAGGATTGAATTCATATGAGCAAAATTCGGTGGTGGGCGAATGAGACGAACGTCATTGGAGCAGGAACCTAGTTGAGTTGGCTGGTTATCAATAAATTGAGTGTGATGCATGTAGCATCGGTCTCAGAGGCGCGGGCAACGAAAACACTTTGAAAGAAAAATATTTTGCGTTCTAACAAAGTCATCACCGACCCCGAATCGAACGGGGACTCCTGCATTGCATCCGCGGCCCTATAGAATTGAAAGCAGGTGCACACCGTGTGCTATCGGGTGGTTCATTACCTTCAAGCTGTACTTGAGTTTATGTGAAGAAATTAGGTTGGAGTCTTGATTGGCCTGCCAAAAGAGGTCAACGTTTGAATTGATATTAAATTTCGAAGTCAAGCGTGGTGAGTGGCAGTGACTAGTATTACACGGGACAAGAGACAAAAAGGTCTGTGAAACAAATGAAAAGAATACTTTGCTACATCTCGAGCACTCGACCCGAGTGAACGGGGGACTCCTGCTGAGGTTATGTTTGTCGGGTCAAACAGGCAGATGCACACCATGTGCTATCGGGTGGTTAGTTCTCTTATTAGACAGTTATATATATCGAGTTGAATTAGGTACAGCAGCGGATGGTCTAAGTCGGTCGAGGTTTGAATTGGTATTAATTTTTCCAGTCGGGTGTATTGACGGAGCGCCGAAAAAGATCAACCAAAAAAAAAAGATGTTCATTGACGACGCATGACCGACCCGAGTCGAACGGGGGATCCTGCTTAGATGATCGTTCAATTATAATTTAACGAGTTTTCTTGGGAACAAAAGTGAGGGCGTATTTAGTGTTGATATCAACGATTCATCTCGATTCTTTGTCAAAAGAGTTGAGCCAAGGTTGAACCTTCACTTTGAGCCAAGCTACATAAGAATTTCGTGCAGACGGAGAGTTGCGGGTCGTTAGAAAAAAAGGGAGGGGAAAACAAAAAGCAAACATGCCATACTATCACCCGACCCGAGTCGAACGGGGACCACTGCATTATATGAGAGGATTCACACGGTACGTAAGAGTCGGCAGGTGCACACCATGTGCTATCGAGTGGTCGAATACCCTCAAGCTGTGGTTGAAGTCATGGGAGCAAATTAGGGTGGTGGTGGTTGAAGTTGAGAGGGTTGAATTGATAGTAATTCTTGGAATCGAACGCGGTAGTGTACTTGAAAATTTATGACCAAGAAGATCTGTCATTATCGTCAATAATTTAAGGAATCAACAAATAAAAAGGTGTTCCAATGGAAATCACCCGACCCCCGAGTCAAACGGGACTCCGGCTCAATAATATTGTCTATCACAGGTCAAAGTAGGCAGTGCACACCATGTCTATCGGTGGTTGAATACCTCAAGTTGGACTTGAGTTTGTGTAGAAAAACTGCTGAGCCGAGCACTGGCTGAATTCTATGAATTTAATTGAGAGACCATTTAAACTTGAACCTGCCAAATATCTCTCGGAGAGCGAGAAGAGAGAAGAGGAGGAAAGTACGGAGGAACAAACCAAAAAATACAATTCAATAAGCACATCACCCGACCCCGAATCGAACGGGAACCTCCTGCACTATTTCAGTTCTCCAAACCAAGCGGCGCAGGCACACACCATGTGCTATCGGGTGGTTAGATACCTCCAAGCTGTGGTTGAATGCATGTGAACGAAATTAGGTTGGACTTTGATTGGCCCCGTCAACGTTTGCAATGAGATTGATTTTTTCAGTCGAGGATTACATGTGGACAAGTCACTACCGTGCAGAGAAAATAGGGATCTATCGGAGAACAAAAACTTGAAGCTTGAAGTTGTATGAAAAGTATATGTCGTATAAACACCGCTAGCACCCGACCCCGAGTCGAACGGGGGCCACCTGCATTATATGACAGGATTCGCACAGCTACAGTAAGAGTCGCAGGTGCACACCATGTGCTATCGGGTGGTTGAGTACCCCCATTCTATGATTGAATCCATGCGAATTAAATTAAGGAGCAGATGGTGGGAGTCTTAGTCGAGGTTTGAATTTTTTTTACTGCTGTTTGCGGAACATAGGGCGTGGATCAAAATTTCATCAAAAACTGTTGTTTTCACTAATGCCCCTGTATCTTGCTTGCCTCTACTCCAAATGCCCTGGAAATATTCTCAATCAATTTCTACAAATGTTTTACGGTGCTTAGGCTGCCTAGAATTTTCACCCTCTTCGCTGATCGCTGAGTAAGCAGAATCATGTGATCTTGCACTAATGCCCCTGCTTTAGAGGAAGGATGGCGTGTGGACCCCTGGATTTTTTTCTGTGAATCTTTTCAAATGTTTTACACTGCCCTGGGTGGTTTTTGTTGCAATTGATCCTGCAGAAACATACAAATAGATATATGCATAAATTTGTTGCTCTTAGCATGTCATCTGTACCGCAGCAGCAAGGTATTGTGCCTATTTGGCTAGCCATTGCAATGCACAGGATATTGAAGAATCTCGAAACAAAAATTTGGGCACACTGAGTTGTTTTCCCTTCCGAACAGGGGCAACAGTGGAAGACCACCTGAATTTGCTTACAAAGCCATCAACAACAGAAATAAATATCCTAGTAAGCCTAAGCACTGTAAAATATCTGTAGAAATCGATTGGTAATGTTTTCAGGGCATTTGGAGCAGAGGCAAGCAAGATACAGGGGCATTAGTGAAAACAACAGTTTTTGATGAAATTTTGATCCGCGCCCTATGTTCCGCAAACAGCAGTAAATTCACAGTCGAACATGGTAGGTGGATGGCCTTACACAGCGAACAGGGACAAGCGGCCGAAAAAGATCTACAAAGAAAAAAGCCAAAAAGTCGTGGAACATATGCACATGACCCGACCCCCGAGTCGAACGGGACCACCTGCATTATATGACAGAATTAACACAGCTACCGTAAGAGTCGCAGGTGCACACCGTGTGCTATCGGGTGGTCGAATACCCTCAAGCTGAACCTGAATTTATATGAACGAAATTAGGTAGCAGATCTAGTCGAGGTTTTAATTTTTTTCAAATTTTTTACAGTCGTACACGGTAGGTGGTTACACACAGAACAGGGACAAGCAGCCGAAAAAGTTCTACAAAGAAAAAAACCAAAAAAAAATCGAGCAACTTTCGTAAATGACCCGACTCCGAGTCGAACGGGGGACTCCTGCTTAAATTATCGACTTATCCAGCAAAGCTGCGCAGGTGCACACCGTGTGCTATCAGGTGGTTGGATATCTTGATATTGAACTGGGTTTATACCGTACCTAAAGAGAGATTTGGATACTTACGGACTTTAACAGAGACCCGGTCATCGGTCAACACAGTATTCAGTATTAGAATTCCCACCGGTTTTTGGTTTGGTGCAAGTGGGAGGAGGGATCCACGAGATAAGATAGCGGAACCAAAATTAACCCAACTTCAATCAGCGGAGGAGTTAACTTACGACACGCACCAACCATGCGGGTGGCTGGATGGACGATTTTGATATATAAGTTGGAGCGGAAGAAGAGCGGGCGCCGAGAGGATCAAAGTGTTTTTTTTATAGAGTCCGAGACGTCGATGGACAGGATGATATGCGAGCGAGCCCCGGGATCCGGTGGGAGTTAGGGCGCTACTATGAGAGAAGGTATGTCAATGCCCTCACAGGTACCGGGCTGTTTACGAGTCCGACAGAAGGAAGGAAGAACGAACAATGGCAGGGATATCATATGTGGTAGACCGATGACGAGTGCTATATGTGGCAGGAGGAATGTTTTGTCTTGGTCTTGAATCACACCAGGGCCGGGCTGGAGTGATGAAAACCTCGATAAGCGCTACAGCGGTATTGTTCACGTATAACGTACAAGTGAGATTGCAGAAGATCAGAGATAGATAGGCTCGAGATCCGGGCGGGTGAGGTGAGGTGTTATTGCTGCACTGTGGACAACGTTGGGACACGAGAACGAGGGAAGGGGAGGGAGAAGGCAGGAGAAGACGAGCAATCGATACAGCGCGATCCGATGCCCATTTGTGAATTTACGAGTAGAGCCCAGGCGAAAGTCCAAATTGCTGTCCAAATTGAAAGGAAGATCTTATGACCCGACCAATGACGTCATCTATTGATCCACCCGCGTTCGTAACACGCCTTGTCGGTTCCTTCCACAACTCACACTGACACCGACGAGACGACGATGGGCACGCTCGCAGTGCCCCGGGCAACCCCTTCAAGGACCATCTCCTCGCTGTCCTCAGCCTCTACGACCCCCACGCGCCGCTGCCGCCCCTGTCCCGCGCTACACGGCCTCGCGATTGCAGACCGATGCAATATTGAGGAAGGTCGAGGCGCTTTGAGTGGCGGAGGCGACGGGGACGAGTCAAACGTCTATCTTGAAGAATGTGAATGGGCGTCTACACCACAGCAGCAAGTGCAGTGGGGAGGAAGCAAAAGACCCCGACGCCGACGCCGACTTTGGGGGCCTGCCCGCTAATACGTTCCTTCAGCGCCTACCCCAATAACACCACCAACAATAACAACGGCCACTCAGGCACCCCCGACTCCGACACCTCGTACAACACCGCGCTCTCCTCCCACGACGCTGCCCGTGAGGACGAAGACGACTTCAGCGAGTACACCACCAACGGCGCTTATACCGACAGCGGGGACGGGTTCGGTACCATTAATGGCGCAGTCGCCTCGTACGATTTATTGCCGGTGCTTAATCTTTAGCATGACTCGACCCGGTTCATACGGTGTCGGAGTTGCTAGAACGATTACGGGACCAGTATAAAATCACAGAGAGGGTTGGTGAGCCCCCAACTGTATCTTAATCGCTGCAAATAAATTGTAGATCTCAGGCGCAAGTTTTCTTCGGTCAATGTCGACACCTGTGAGAGATGACCACACGACCACTGTTCAATCCCTGTCCACTACGCTTGAGATCGGAGAACAAGAAACAACAGATCTTGATGAATAGCTTCCCCTCAGGTTACTATGTCTCGCTCACGATTTTGTACCAAATAACGACGAACATCAGATTCAACCCGGGATCCTCGAGTCATCCATGTAGCCTGCCGGAATCCCCATTTATTTACTCTTTAGTGAATAATATTGAACGTGGCCGTGGCGTTGGCCCGTCCAACGGCGCTGCTCGAGAAATGCGGCCAAG